CGAAACGGCACATATAAAAAGAGATTAAAAAAAAAGCAAAACTTATGAAAAGAATCGCTAAAAAATTATATTTTTCTAGTGTTTTTTTCTTAATGCTTGTTACTTTGTAAAGGAATATCATAAAAAAGCGATAAGTTCTCATTTCATTTAGAATTCCGTGCTATTACACATAGGATTATTAAAAGTTAGCATGAACAATGTCTTTTGAGACTAATAATTATCGTAATCAGTTTTTTAGAAAGCTTTTTCACATTGTCCAACTTGAAAATCTTTATATACAGTGATAAAATTACTGTGTTCTTATATAATTTTGATCAGTACTATAGATCTTCGACCATCACATTCGACATTATTCATATTGTTAATGATACCGAACAAAATGAAATGTGATAGCCATCATCACATGACGAAAATCCTGTTGGATGTTTTTGTATGAGAACCAATGTTAATTGAAAAAATTCTTTGATTTTGAACGTGATTGAAGAGCTAGAAAAAAAAACCATATTTATTTTGATTTCAGTAAACATATTGTTATGGTTGTTGTAGACATGGCTTTATTTGATTTCTGAGCGAATCTGCACTCTTTCAGATCATTTTTTCGAACATTTTATATGTCAACGAGAAAAAAAAATCTAAAACAAAAATGTCTCTCGATCGAAGTTGATAATAATCAATTGCTCAGTGTTGATCAAAATGCATATAATCAAATTGTACTACTCTTCTAGTGTTATAGATCAAAACTGAAAACACTAACAATAACTCTCACAGTCTTAGCGATTGATTAAAATTCATTGATGATATACATTTAGAGAATGAAAGTTTGAGTCAAATACTGTATATGCATACATTTATCTTCGATATTGTTACTATTAATCGAAACATTCATAATAATAAAGATCGGCAATCTGTTGATGATATTGAATGTCTATTCATTTGCAAATCATACCAAGCGAATGGTTCTATGTATGCAAGATCTCAATATTAAGATGTATGAGTGCTACGTTTTTTATGAATAAAGTAGGATTGTTTCTATTTTTTACAAAAGTGTGGGCCAATACAATGGATTCGCACAACTTGTATGGATTCATTGCTTTTCAATCATAGCAAGAATCGGAAAATGAAAAATAAAACAAGATTTGACTTTGAATAAACTTTATTATTCGTATATTAGAAAAGAGAACTTGAATCGAAAAATTAAATAAGTTTAGTATTCATAAATAAGCTTTGAGCTGCACACTTTTACAAAATTGGGACGCTTTGTGAGTTTTCGTTCAGAATTTCGGATAATACTTAAATAATAAAGTAAATTTATAATTTTACAATTTCATATGTTTCCTCTGGCACTTTCACGACTTGATGAGCTACACAAACTGTTGACTTATCATCATTTTTAGAATCAGTATTAGTCTCCTTTGGTGAATAAAGGTACCAATATATAAAACCAACAAAAACTGCTCCACTTATAATATTTCCAAGCGTGGTTGGAATCAATAAACACGAAATATACTTTTCAACAGATAGATTAGCACCAAGCATCATACCAATTTGAACTGTAAACATATTGGCAATGGAGTGTTCATATCCAACACTAACAAAAAGCCAGATAGGCAGATAAATACCGATTATTTTTGAATGTAAATCACGTGCACTTGTAGCCAACCATACGGCAAGACATACAAGCCAATTTCCAGCAATAGCTCTTAAAAATTCTTGATGCCATTCATTGGTACCTTTTATTTCAGCAATTTTTATAGTATATGAACGATAAGGATCATTAGAGAGAAGACCTGCATAGTAAATAAGTATACCCTCGCAAAAAAGACTGCCAGCAAGATTTCCAAAAAACGAGACTCCCCATGATATTATAAGATGAATCCATGTTGTTTTTTTCTGTAATGTTGATATCGTTAATATCATTGTGTTTCCAGTAAATAACTCAGCACCCGTAGTAACAATCAAAATTAAACCAATAGGAAATACGGCAGCTTGTACCATTCTCTGTATACCAGGACCAAGATTCTGAGCCAATGGAGCACTTCCACCACCAACAATAAGAAGAAAAAGACCACTGTAGGATAGAAAAACACCAGCTAAAATTGATTTAATAATCAAATGATCAATTCTTAGTTTTGATTTTTGAACTCCAGCAGCTGACAACAATTCAAGAGTCTCATAAACATTGTGACTATCGCAGGTTGTCATAATCATTGAAGTTTTTTGTCGCTTTAATGTCTAGAAAGATATATTATACATCGTATTTTATTCAAAAGAATGTTGAACAATCATATCCACTGTGTTCTATTCGATGGGATTAAATATATACAATAGAATGTCACGTTTCTTCTCAGTTATCTTTGTAGCGGTTCAATATAGTTGAAAATAGTTATTTGTTTTATCTTTTAGAGATTAACATCAGAAGAAAACATACATCGAATGAAAGAAAGGAAAGCGAATGAATATGTTCTCATTCATTATCTTACCTATAAAATATTCAGGTAAAAAAACAAAGCACAAGACAATAAGACAACGAACTTTATTTGCTATTCAAATTTGAGAATTAATTTGCTTGAATCCTATTTACAATAATTGGTGCTTAAAATTAGAGATGTCATTTGAAAACGCTACGAATTGAACTGAAGATTTAGTAAGAATATTTAAGGTTATTTCGAGACTTTTAATAGATGGAACAGCTTAATAACAGACTATCGTAAAAATTACAGGCTTATTGAATACGTAGATCATTAATCGTGTTTGGCCTATTGATTATATAGCATTTGCGGCGAAACTATGTGAAACAACAACAAATTTCATACAGTGATATATTGCATCGAATACTAAATTGACAAAGTCGTCTTGATATAAGACGATGGGGTTGCCTTTTTTGAATCTATCTATATCGACTGTGCAACACGGATTCGCTTTTTTCCAAAAGTATTATGCATAGTACTTAAATATTAGTTTAAATACTTGTCAAAGTACTTTCATTCACGTTAAGTTATATTTCAGTACTTGTTCAAATTTCAAGAATAGAAATTCAGTGAAATCGACGTACCTGATTGTGGATGATCAAGATAGTAAATAACGTTGATGAATGTAAGCTCCACCAGAAAATAATGTGTCTGTCAACTTGAGAAAAAGCATTCGTGCATGAAGCGATCATTTACTTATTGTTAAATATATTTTGACAGCGGCACGACGCATGACTATTTGTTGTATTGCAAATGCTTATTTTTTGTTATGCTTATACGTGAAAAATTGACAAAGAAACAATCAAAATAAGCTCTGTTTACATTATATATGCACGTTTTTGACGAAGTTTATCCGTGGGCTTACGGGTCAATCAAAGTACGTTCTAGATTACACCATTGTGCATCCAATGGTAATTACATCCCCATTTAATAATGAATAATAATAGCATAATTCATACTAGAAGTGAGCGAAGTACCTATCTTTTTGTGATCAAGTCTGTCGTAAAATTTGAGAACCGTATTGATATAGCGCCTTCCAAAAGCAAGATTTTTGTCTTAAGCGTTTCAAAACTTCATTTTCAATCATTCTGTTGTCGTAATGTCCTTAGAAAAAGATGGTCAATTAAAATGACAAAAAAAATGTATTCACACTTGTTAACGGTGATTCACACTTAACCTACCCTCGATTCTCTTTCTCTTTCTGTCGCGCTTCTTCTTTCTACTGTGTTATTATTATTATTGTTTCTCCTTCTTTCTCTCATGCTCTTCTTCTTCTCTCTATGGACGTATATATACCTAGTGATTTAAAGACATTTTTGAAGAGATTTAACATATGAAATAAATAAACAAAGTTAAGCTCGTCGAAGCGAGCTAACAACAACCAAGATGAAACATTACAGGTCACCGTCATCGAGCTTTTTTTGCTGCATATATCGTCATGACACTATCTTCTCAAGAAAAAACGTCGTTGTGATGTCGTAATGGTGTCATATTACGAATCCTGTAATTATAGGAAACTATGGCCTCGTTGACGTGTCGTATTTCACCATAAATGGTTGTATATGGATCTTATTCTTCAAGCATAGAAGAGGCGATGAAAATAAATCTTTTGAACTGCGAATTTGATCGACACAAAATCAAACCACAATCAAAGTCAAACTGATCTTGTACATTCTGACTTCAGGCATTCTTTCAGCAGCTATCTTGCAGAAAGCACAAAATTTAAAATCACGAAGACTTTCTTTCTGATGAAATTACTCGTTTTTTGTCTGCGATTCGTTTTTGATAAAAACCTATTACAAATCTTACTTTAAAACGCATGATACTAATGATTTGTCGAAAGCAAAACTCATTTGCATAAAATATTCAAGACAGGCAAATTCTTCAATTTTTTTCAGTTTGTAGTTATTTCAAATGTTGGCTGGATTAGATTGAATATTGATTAATACGACTAGTAAAACAATATGAGACTTGTTTCCAGACTTTTTGATAAAAAAACCACCAAAGGAACAGGTTTCAATTGATTTTTATGCATCTTTCTCTTAAAAAGTCATTTGAATGTGTCATACATGTGGCCATGTTGATTTTATAAAGTAATAAACAATTAAATATATGGCAGGCATGGAATCGGATCGTGGTTTTCTTTCGGAACCAAATCAATTGCACCTCTAATATTTTCAGTCCGTTCAATATCAGCTTGCTGTACTTGAAAGACTGTGAAACTCAAGAAAATAAGTTTTAATCGCTTTATGATTCGGTTATCGATGTGAGACATTCATATCATACATCAATAAATAAAGATCATTTTAGTAAAAAAAAAGAGACCTTGTTTTGTTCATTGACAGCGAATGATTTCTTCTGATTGTCACAAATATATATATGAAAATGATTTTGATATGAAGCTCTTGAAATACTTTAGATCTGTTTGGTTTAGATCACATTCTAGTTATTTATGAGAATTTATAGGAAAAAAAATCAGCCATTTTTATTATTTATTACATAAAAAAGAACTTAAAAATTCATTGATGATTATCATTTGGTCCAACCATTTGTTTCATATTGTTCTGGTTCCGATCCTTCTTCATCATAATAAAATGATGTATAAAAACCATAACCATGTTGGCCAGGTAATTTTCTCGTTATCTTATTCCATTCTAATTTTTTGACATCATTCACATTCTCTTTTCCAAAACATTGATAAACAACTGTACCCCAACCTGAACGTAAAATAACATCATCAATTCAAGATAAATATCGGAAATATTTTCAAAAGTGGACAATAATTAAAAATATTTTTTAAATAGCAAATTGCTCACCATCTCCATTAAATCTGCATCCACAACACCACCAATGAACAGCAATATTTTCGCTTTTACATATTGGACATTGTTTATAATTTTTTGACCAGAATCGCTTACGAATTGCTTCACTTTGTTCGTCCACTGAAAATTTTACATCACCATTAGTGCCCATTTTCATTTAACATTCAATCTCATTATAAATGGCTACCTTTGTATTTTTTGATTTGTTATTATTATATGAATCGAACAAGTAAATATTTTTTGCAAACATTAACTATTACGTATGAAAAAAAAAACATGGATTGTGTATCATACATAAATAAGTGAATATTTTTTTTTCTTTTTCTGTTGCGCACAAAATGTTGTCCATCATTCTACACTGAAAAAAGTCGCAATCTCGATCAGTTTTATTTTGAAAGAATTTATCTCGATTATTTTATATGAATAGCATTGAAATTTAAACATTTCATGTACTCTATGAACTTCATACTGTTTTGTAGTAATAATCTACAATTCAATACTTCTACGATCATCATTGATTGTCTTTCAACACATCTTCTACTATCTATAATTATTAGAATACGTTATGCGTTAGGCTTTTCACTTAAATTGCTAATTTTTTTAATTTGATGTAGTTGATCTATTCTATATCAAATTTGACATGGATGAATATTCATTTGAAACTATATATCAAAGACACTAATTCTATTTATGAAAATATTGGATATATCAAAAAAAAGGAGACCTGAGAAAAAGAATTTTTTAAAAAATTCATAGATTTAAAAAAGAGAAGACTGTCAGAGATTGTAGATAAGAAAACGTAATAATCAATTGATATCATACAAAAAATTCTTAAACTGACAAAGTTCACAAACAGTTATTGCTTTCTATTAGCGGAATATTTTAAAAAAAGCAATCATGCTTTTCAACAAAAAAAATTTTTGTTTTCAATGATTATTGATCTATATCTTAGGATAAAAGTTCATCAAATAATATCTAATTTATGGCCATCAAATTATTTTAGAGAAAAGAACCTTGCATCACTCAAATCTTACTGTTCTTTTACAGTCTTTAAACTCTAGTCAATTAAATACAATACATAGTCAAGGAAACAACAAACAGATAGAGAGGCAGGCATTTTCATCTAAACATTTTGTATATACACTTGTAAGCAAAATACTTTCCCATCTATTATTCTATTACTACAGTCGTCTGTTTTTAATTTAATCTTAAGCCTAAGCCTTGATATGAACTTTATTTCAAGACATGAAGCATTCTCGTAATGTATTGATTCGGCGTATTAGCCAATAACCTTGAAAGAAGTATAGTGTCCATCGAAGGCAACACCAATTAGTCATACTCTGCACTCAAATAATATGCTTTAAGATCCTTCAAATTAACAATTACTTGAGATAAAATGGATACAATATAGAATAAAAGCATAAAAGAAAGAGAAAACCTTTGTACTTTCGCTTTTTTTCTGCAGTACTACAATTTTTTCATAATAAAATTTATCACTTACCACTTCTCATAATCATGTCTTCACTTTTGTAGATGCATGATGATTTACATCTTATACCGTTACTTATACTTGTTGTAACGATTTTACTAACACTTTGTTAGGTTTCTTGCATCATCAATCACATCGTTTACATACAGAATATACTTTTATATACGCGACTAGGAGAGAGAGACAGATGAGAATAACATACAGAGAACTACGAGCGATGACACATATGGGTATCGTTATACTTGTGTGAAACACTCACAATAAATACCTAGAAAAGTGTCTTCTGATATTATTCCAAGCATCATTTCATTTATCTACTAGTTTACATTGTTTACAGACAAATTCTTACGATATACTGTGAGTGATTTTATTATTAGCATCCTTTAGCCTTATGATCATGTCAGTTTCTAAAGGAACAATTTAGTTTTAAGACTATAGATATCAAAAAGGAACAGAATTAAAACAAAGTAAGAAAAAAAAAAGAGCAAAACAAAAGAAAACACCCATGAAGGAACAAATACAGTATGAAACGAGAAAAAAAACAATAAAATAATTGTGGAGATAACATGTTTTACAAAGATGAGTAACACGTATAGCTATATACATATTTGTCCTTTCGTTCTTGTCTCTTCTAGACGCGGACTACAGTCCTCAAATTACGTTGTTTTTTTTCTTCTGTGCTTTGTTGGTCAGAGTGACATAGAATCGACGCTCTAGAAATTTTCTGGATTACAAAGCAAAGCACAATAATTCTTCTTCATTGCATACTACAACGAAATCTGAAAGTCCATGTCTTGTCACCCATCTAAGTACTTGTCCTAATATAAGCATAGTAGAGATCATTCAATGATTTTTCATTACAAATAGATGAGAAGATGAAGTCGTTCCAATATTGGCACTGGTACACAATACTATGAGTGTTATTGTGATGCTAACTACTGGAAAAGTACACATAAAAAATTCCAATATTCGAAAAAAAAGATGCTTATGGAAAATTTCAAACTACATTCTTTTTGGTAATAATTACTTATTTTTCAAACAAATTTGATAAATGTTAAAACTTCAAAATTTCCATATCTTTACAAAAGTTCAAACTGACTAAGTGAAGAACTAATCGACAAGCTATATGACAAAAGAATGATCTCTCTAGCCTAATGAATAAACCTGCATACAGAAAAAAAAACTTGTAGTCTAAAGAATAAATATTTATTTGTTGATATTCTAATGAAAAAGTTATAATATAAACATGAACGAACTGATAGAGAGAGCTGAAAGAATCTCATGAAAGATACGCAAATATTTATTTTAACCAAGAGAGAGAGGCGGACAAATTATGGAATACTTTTCGATAGGTTTGTTCTTTTCCTTAGCTAATAGGTATATTTATTTCATTTTGATTCTGAGTATAATTTCTTTACATTACGGCCAGAATCTATTTCAATCGCTGGATTTCATTATCATTACTAAGCCTTAAAAAGTTAATAGAACAAAGAAGAAAGCTTCAACTTGAACAAACATATTTCATAGTGAAATGTAGGAAAGACTGCAAAAAAGAAGAATGCAATGTCTCTCTTGTATGAGTGAACAATAAAAGGTGAGTATAGAAGAACCCTGCAGTTCAAGATTTCCTACATTTCTGAAATTTCTTATAATTGTGTCGGATTCCACTATTGATGTGGACTCTCAGATAACTAACACGCATTAGTGGAGTTGTTCGATGTTTTGAATTTGTTTTTTTTTTTATTATTTTGTTATTCAATATTTTTTTAAAGATCTATAATCGTCTGCTTTCTTCAACGTGGCTCACAATACTTAGATGTCATGAAACCGATCTTTGAAATGAATATATTTTTGTCATGAAAGAACTGGATAATTTAATAATTGAAGGTACAAATATACAATGCAAGTAGCCACAATCAAAGAGGATTGTGGTGGTTACAATTCAAACAAATTTTCTTTCAAAACAAAAAATGTTTGTATTCATTAACCGTTAAAATCACAGATAACAAGAAAATTTGTATATCTTTTTAGAACAAGCTCGCATTTGCCACAAAATAGAACTTGTTCTTTATAAAATATAAAATCTTTTATGTCTACAATATTTTTACCATGGTAAACTTGTTAAAATAGTCTTTGAATATTTATGTATTGCAAAAGCTCATTGTTACCAAAGATTCGAAAATAATTACATAATGAGTATATAAATTATTAAAAGATAAAAAGCTATAAAAGTATCTTTTTGACTTTCAATAAGCAAAAGTACAATGAGAACAATTCTTGTATGCTATTTTCAACCTCTTTTTATGGTAGCCTATCTAATTCAACATCCATTTACGGTGTTGTAAAAGACTTTTAATGTGTATATTGAACGTTCTTCCTTAGCTGCAGTACACAAGCACACTATATGATGAATATTGACTTTCCTAAAGATTGATCAAATTTTTAGAAATGCTATTTTCTATTTAATTTCATTATTATTGGCATTCATCAGTCATTGAGGAGAATCATTGTTTTTTTGAATAAAAACGTCAAATGAAGTCATTAATAAAGAACATTTCAAAGAAATCGTATTCTTTTACAGTGTTCATAGACGTCCAGTTTGCAAACACTTTCTTGAGAGAGCATGTGTGTTCAAGTACACTGATTTTTCCTATTAAATCATAATTCATTGTCCATGTCTATCAAAAGTAGAAATCAATATCTGTGCAGATCGGACTCATCTACCTTCGATCCAACTTAATTCTGGGAATTCTCACTGACTCCTGCCAAACGTTGTCGGAATCCATTTTGTTATACATATGTCAACGATCTATGACTGTTGAAACTTGAGAAAAAGTAAATAGTTGGATTGTTTGGAATTTTATCAAATCTGACAGCTAGTCTGATACAATTTGACAGAATTCAACTATTGAATCCTTCGTTCTGAGTACACTTGCAAGCCAAAAAAAACTTGGCATTTCATGAATGATGACCGAAGCAAAGTCTATTTCAAGGTTTATAGCTGTTTTCAAATGTACAATATTTTTAGTAGATATAGTGGAAAAAGAAAACAGAAAAAAGTTAATATTTGGTGTGAGTGTGGTTGTTGATACTGATTCCATCCACATCCATGTTTCTCAAGAGATAAAGATATGTTATTTATGAATCCCCTTTGGAAATGCCCAGATCAGTTAATAGAGAGAAAAGTGAAGATTATCTCTTTTATAATGGATTCATTTAGAAAAGTTTCAAAGTCTTCTCTGAGATATTCTACATAAATTATCATGCCCTATATGAATTTGATCGGCGGTATGAAAATTTAAAAAGAATGAAAAATTGCGAACTTTCTAACAGAATTTCTGACCATCTCTCTCTAATTCTGGCATTAAATAACTTAGTGATTGTTTCGTGTAATACTGTCGTTGTCATTTGATTATTAATGTTGAAGATGATGGAATGATATCAGATTGAAATATAAACAGGTTCTATGATAATTATTGAAAGTTCTTAGTTGTTTTTCCAGGCGCCATAAGTTTCATAAGCGGCAAATTAAGTTCATAGCTTTGAATTAAAATTACAAAAATGTCTGTTGTGGTTTGCGTGTTTAGCTTATTTACATTGTTTTTTTTTCATTTTTTTTCTTCATAATCCTCTCATGGTGTTAGCAACACTACATTCATTTC